GAAACCTCCATTCCCGGGAATGGAACCCCCCTGAACACCCATTTTTGGTACCGTGACCCCCTTGTATCCTCTTCCCCAGCACCGGGACCCCCATGAACCTCCATTTCTAGGTACGAGAACCCCCCTGAACCCGCGTTTCTGGACACCGGCACCCCACTGAACCTCTAATTCCGGGTACTGAGACACCCCTTTGTCCCTGTCAGTGCCCTGGGACTCTCATGCATCCCCATTCCCGGGCACTGGGATCCCACTGCTCCCCCTTATTCGGCCCTAGGACATCACTGCACCCCCTTCCCGGGCATCCCCCCCTTTCCAGACCCCAGCCCAGCCCTTTTCCTCGACCTTTGGTCTCCCCAGATCTCACAAATTCCTGCATCCCTCCCCTTCTCCACTCCCGGCGCTTCCTGAAATGGGGTTCCAGGGGGTCCCGAGTGGTTTTCACAGCGGGGGGGATCCAATGGGRTSCAGATGAATTCCCTGGAATTCCCTTTTCTTCCCATCCCCCAACCCCTACGCTCCCTCGRTSACTTTCGCGTCTCCCAARCTGCGGCACCGGGATCCGCCCGGCGACWGCYCCGGCACCGGGACCCCCTGACCCCTTACCCAGCACAGGGACAGCCTGGAACGTCCATTTCTGGTCACCGGGACCCCCTGAACCCCCATTTCTGCCTCTCCCAGCCCACAGACCCCACTTCCCTCAATACCGGGGATCCCTGGAACCCCTTTTCTGGGCACAGGGACCCCCTGACCTCCCATCCCACCTCTCCCATTGCCCTCACCCCTCTTTTCCTTGACTCTTGGACCCTTCTGGATTTCCATTCCTGGGCATGGGGACGCCCTGCACTCCCTTATCTGAGACTGGGACCCCCTCCTGGACGCTCTGGGACCGCTCTGCACCCCCTCGTTTGTACTGGCAACCCCTGCACCCTCTTTCCAGCCATCCCACTCTCCCAGCCCACAGACCCCTGATTCCCTTGGCCCAGGGACCCTCTGCACCCCCATTCCTGCTTGTCCCAGCTCCCAGCCCCCATTTCCATCAATACCAGAAACCTGTAGACCCCCCTTTCCTGGGCACAGGGACCCCCTGGAGCCCCCATCCCGCTGCTTCCACGACCTTCACCGCTCTTTTCCTTGACCTTGGACCACTCTGGATTTCCATTCCTGTACATGGCGACACCCTGCACCCTCTTATGGGCAACTGGGATCACCCCCTGGATCCGTTTAATCTGCTCTGGAACCGTCCTGCACCTCCTTATTCATCACTGAGATCCCCCTGCACCTCATTTCCGGCCMTCCCRCCTTTCCCTGACGCACCCTCGCTCTTTTCCTTGGCTTTYGGACCCCGCAGATCTCCCAAATTTCTGTATCCCCCAATTTCTCCATTTTCAGCACACCCTGAATGGGGTTCCAGGGAGTCTCGGAGGGTCCCAGGGGTTTCCAAATGGTTGTCACGGGGTCCCAGGGGTGTCGCAGTTGGGATCCACTGGGATCCAGATGAATTCCCTGGAATTCCCCTTTTCCACCCATCCCCCACCCCCCGCGTTCCCTCGGTCACTTTCGCGTCTCCCGAGCTGCGGCACCGGGATCCGTCCGGGGACTGCCCCGTCACCGGGACCCCCCTGAACCCCCTTAGCTGGACACCGGCATGGCCCCTGAGCCCTGGGTTGGGAACACCGGGACGCCCCTGAATCTCCACATTCGGGCACCGAGGCCCCCTGAACCCCGAATCCTGTGAAGAAAAGTCCTCTGAATCCTCATTGCCTGGCACGGTGACCCCCCTGCACCCCCATTCCTGGGCACTGGGATCCCCACGAATCTCCATTTCTGGACACCGGGACCCTCCTGCACCCCCTCATCCTGCACCTGCAACCCCTGCACCCCCTTCCCGGCCATCCCGCCTTTCCCAGACCCCAGACCCGCCCTTTTCCTTGGCTTTCCCAGACCCCCAGATCTCCCAAATTTCCGAGTCTCCCGAGTTCTCCATTCCTGGCACTTCCTGAAAGG